TCCGGAGGGGCTCCTTCAGCCCAAGCGCTATAATCTGCACGGACAACTCACGTGCTATAATAAGAAAGTATGTTGCAGGCGAGCCGCCCCGATCCACGCTCATCCTCACAAATCAGGCCCTCGGCCTCACTCAGTCATAAACCTCTCAAGCCACTCGGGTATTTCAGTAAAACAGGGCATTTGGCCCAAAACATTTTTATGCATCGAAATAGAGTCATAAAACTAAGTTATGCGGTAAACAATTATAAACATGACTGCATATAGATTTTCAATTGAAAACAATGAGAGGATGGTAAAAAATAGCCCCTAAGGGTCCAAACAACATTGGCCCAAGGCCCAAACATTGCATTCAGCCCAATTTACAGAAATTCTTTCTAAAACATATAAGTATCATATGGTTTCAACAAAGTATGCAACCTTACAGTTGCTACGGGATGGACCAAGTCACAAATATCCAACAGTGCACGCCCACACGCCCGTCACCTAGCATGTGCGTCACTAAAAAATAGTAGAATGATACAAAATTCGGGGTTCCATACCCTCAGGACTAGATTTACAATCGTTACTTACCTCAAACAGGTCAAATCTCTACCAAGCAATGCTCTTGCCTCTGGACTCGGCCTCCAAATGCTCCAAATCTATTCACAATCAGTACAATACCATCAATATATGCTAATGGAATGAATTCCACAAGAAAAGCTACAAAATTAGACCAAAACCCGAAATTGGCTCAAACCCGGGCCCCGGGCCCACATCTCGAGATCCGACAAAAATTTACAAAATCAGAAAGCTCATTCACTCACGAGTCTAATCATACCAAATTCATCAAAATCCGACATCGTTTGCTCCTTCAAATCCTTAAATTACTCTCCAAATATTCCAAGCCCTAACCCCTCATTTTCACTAATTACAATGATTAAATAACGGAAAAATAACCATATATACGAGTATTAGGCTCAAGCAACTTACCTCACTGATAGCCCTTGAATCACCCTTCAAAAATACCTCCAAAAGCTCCAAAAACCGACTTGAAAATGGTGGAAATGAACCTAATTCGCGAAGGGTTCTATTTATGGTTTATGCCCAGGTTTTTCGCACCTGCGGCCCCTTTTCTCGCACCCGCGCGACCGCACCTGCGGTCCAAGGAGCCGCACCTGCGCAACTCACTTAGGCGCCCAAACTCCGCATATGCGGCAAATCCGTCGCACCTGCGAAGGCGCACCTGCACGTTTTCCTTCGCTTCTGCGAAGCCTGACCAACACTCCCTTTTCCGCATATGCGCCCCAGGTTTCGCACCTGCGGGCTCGCAGATGCGACCTACAACTCGCACCTGCGCAACCTGCTTAGCCTAGCATTGTCCTCACCTGCGCACTCCCCACGCGTACCAGCGGCCTCGCACCTGTGACTTTTCCTTCCGCAGGGGCGGAAATAGCAGACGCAGCATCTCCAGCTGCAAATTCCTACTTCGACAAATCCGTTAACCGCACGGAATCACCCCGAGGCCCTAGGGACCTCAACCAAAAATACCAACAAGTCATATATCAACATACAAACTTAGTCGAACCTTCGAATCACTCAAAACAACATCCAAATACCAAATTACCCTCGGATTCAAGCCTAAAAACTTCTAAATTTTCAAATTCGGCAACAGATGCCGAAACCAACCAAATCACGTCTGAATGACCTCAAATTTTGCACACATCACAAATGAAACTACGAACCTACTCCAACTTCCGCAATTCCATTCCGACCCCGATATCAAATTTTTCACTGCAGACCGATATCGCCAAATTTCCAATTTCGCCAATTCAAGCCTAATTCTACCACGAACCTCCAAATCACATTCTGGACGCACTCCTAAATCCAAAATTACCTAACAGAGCTAACGGAACCATCAAAATTCAAATTTGAGATCGTTTACACATAGATCAACATCCGATTGACTTTTCTAACTTAAGTTTCTACTTAAGAGACTAAGTGTCTCAATTCACTCTGAAACCACTCCGGTCCCGAACCAACTAACCCGATATAACATAATATAGCCGAATAACACAGAAAGAAGTAGAAATGGAGAAAATGGGGCTATAACTCCTGAAACGACTGGTCGGGTCATTACAATGATGAGGTAAGTCTTTTGTCTAATCTTGTGAGGGGAAAATTACCCCATAGGTGATATAATTAAATAATTGTTGCTAATTGTGGGGGCTATGTATGCACGAGGTAACGAGAGTCCGTGCGTAGCTACTATTAATGCTAAAGTCCGGGTAGTTTAGGACTCAAAAGCATGAATTACTTGTGTAAATGGTAGTCTTTACTTAATTAAATTATTTGATATATTTATATATATGTTGTGAATTGTTAGATAAAGTATTAAAGGATGGAAATATCATATGTTTGAATTTTTGTTTAAATTAATTAATTGTTAAGAGAAATTGTTCTTCCTCCCGAATTTATCTTGCAATGAATATACTCTCTTTCTGGGGGTACATAAGAAAATGTCCCCCTTTTCTTGTGGGGCGGGTCGAACGCCTCGGCAGGAAAGATGCATCTATGGATCGTGTCGCATGTCCCTCGACAGTGTACACTAAACTATGGATCGAGTCGTACGACCTCAGCATAAATCGTGCTTAATAATAATAATTACACGATACTTGGACAGTTTATTGCAGCTTGTAAGCTATTTGATAAATTGAAAATTTATTGAAATTGAATTGCAGCTTGTAAAGCTATTTGATAAATTGGACTTTTTATTGAAATTGAAGGATTTAATTAATAGATTAAAAATTATTGCATTTGAAGGATTTTTATTATTTATGCTAATTGAATAAATTATTGTTAACTCTGTGAATCATGTTGATTTGAATAATTATAATTTATTCCATTTATTATTGATGACCCTTAGTGAGTGTTAAAGTCGGTCATTTCGTCTCTACCATTTTGAGATTAGGCTTCATACTTACTGGGTACATGTTGTTTACGTACTCATGCTACACTTGCTACACTTTTTGTGCAGGACATGAGGCAAGTACTAGTAGGGAACCTATCTTCTTACACCCACGCTATCCAGGGGCATAGTGGTGAGCTGTCTTTCTGAGCCGTTCTGCAGCTACCAGTGTCTCTCCTTGTATTTTTAATTCTGTTTATTTTTATTATTTCAGACAGTATTTGGAGTTTTGTATAATCTATTAGATACTCATACACTTGTGACACCAGGTCTTGGCATACACATTGTGCATCCGCCCATTTGATATTTCCCTTGAATTGAGACAAGAAGGTTGTCTGAGGTTTCAATCTATATTTTTATAAAATGTGTTATAAATTTGCAAGTAGTTGAAAGTTACAAGAAGATATCATAATCTACATGCAAGAATAATTTAAAAATATTAAGTTATATAGTGAAACTTCTTTACCACTAGCATCATCTTTATGCAGTAGAGCAACCAACTGAACTATTCCACGAGTATCTTCTATCAACGAACGAGAAATCCTTATGAGTAGAAAACACAACTTTAAGAAAGAATGAAGTTGTTGGCCGTCAAATCTATAGGACCTTACCATAAGATGCCACACTAGACTTTCTCATTGCCACTCCATATCCAACAAACTCAGGCCAATCACATGTGTGCAACCTTATGTTTTAGCTAATCAACCAGCATAGCCATCAGTACATTTTAACCTGTTAAATTGCATACATGTTCAGTTGATTGCATAGTTACCATAAGGAGAAAAATAATTATCAAAGTAATAAAACCCTATAATTAGACAATTTGGAGAATGACTTATTAAAAAGAAAGATGGAAATCTAATAAGTTAACTTAATGTTTTATCAAACACAAAATAAAAAATTTACTTAAAACAAAAATATTGTTTAGCAGTGAATATCTTTAGTCAAAAAAATAATACTGAAAGAGAAAAAGGAAAAAGAAAAAGAGATACAAACTCAAACAGACACCCACATATACAGGACACAAAGAACAAAGAAACACTATGACTTCTTGATTCCCAATATATTGAAGGAAACATATTCTTCTCAATGAACAAGTTACTAAGCTTAAAATTTCTCAAAGATAAAGCGCAGTGATACTCACAATAGAGGTGTGGAAGGAAACAATAGACAATAAGCATTGTTAGCTATCTTTCTGAATAGAGAGGCATATGAGTTGTGCAACCTTGAGATTAGAATAAACCTTTGTTGGTGACCTGCACATCATTGAATCAAATAAGAATTCAGGAAGCCTCATCAAATTAGTTCATATTCGAAAATGATTAAACTTTACCAAAGGTCAAAGTATTTAAAATGCTCTTTGCGGTATTTTGTCAAACACTCGTAGGGCATAATCTGTGAATGTGATAATCCACATTAGTATATTGTACAATAACACCCCACATATTCTATTTTACACTCACACAATAAAATCACAACATAGATTACGCTTCGAAATTCTGAACTTAGAATACTTCTAAACATGATTCAATTCCTCCATGAAATCAAAACACACTCCAGAAAGAAGGAGCAATTCGAATCAAATCAAGAAAGAAAGATAAATGGTGATTTTCAATGTGTCAATGTCAGTACACAAAGAGATGGAAAGAGAGAATTAAGCAACAACACAGTACACGAATACTTTCATACTGCTATTCCTGAAGGTGTTTGAGGTTCACGTTTGGGGTGGAGGGATTTGGAGGGGATAGAGAAATTGGGAAGGGGGATATGAACTTGAATGTTATGACTTTTGAGAGAGGGATATTGCAGGGAGTAGGGTTTTTTTGGGAGATTTTAGGGAAATTTTGGGGGAAGTTTTGCAAAATATATACCATCTCTTTTTGAAATTTGTAAGTAGTAATTTTATTTTTACCAAGAAAAACAAGTAGTAACTTGTTTACATTTATCATAAATGTCACTAACTAAATGTCATTTTATTACTAATAGATAGTTACAAATACTACTGTTGCAATTTCAATCCTAAATATATGAGCTGTGTACAATGATCTTCTTATTTATCCTTCAAACGTCCTATCTTATTTAGGCAATGCATATGTTAATAAGATTAGAACCTGAGAATTCTGTCTTTGAATTGGCTGTGGAACCAAAGGTGTTGATGGTTGTGATTGGCTCGAAGAATGTTTTTCCTCGTTTCAGTGAATGTTTGAATAATATTGGAATTGTTAAGCTGCTTTTTAGTACACAAAGTCACAAGCAATTTCTGGCTTTCCTTTGACATAGATTGAAAATTCTTAGAATTTTGATAGTAGTTGGATAGAACAAATCTCATCATGTTCCTCGTATATATTACTTTTGTCTAGCAGGGACAAGGCACTTAAACAGTGGTATCGTTCAAGGATGGTGTCGAGCAAGGAGCAGTTACAAAGTACTTAATATTTTATTTTTTTTGGGATATGTATATGCATACAATTACAATGCATAATGAAGTGTCGGGTAGTATATATGTAATTGACTTTTCAGTAATGATAATATTTATAAGATTCGGCTTGAGAAATTCTTTTGATGTTTGTCAAACATTATTGGTTGCTTTAATATTGATAGTCAATTGATATGAATATCTCTATATGAAATTTTAGAGAATTAGTTTCCTACTGGCATGGACATGTATATAATTTTGGTTGTTATAATTGTTGAGAAAATAAGTTTTAGTGGCGACATAGTTTTGTCAAAAAATTAGTAATTGTTGCGATATAAAAGTTGCCACTGTAGGTTTATTTCTTTTGCAGCAACTTTAATCGCTACAGAAAATATTGTGTCTTTCATGGTTAAATATTTTGTGGCCACGCCTGTCGCTACTAAAAGACATATAGTGGCGACATAATGTTGCCACTGAACATAAATATTATTGTGGCGATGCTAGTTGCTGCTAAAGGTGAATATACAGTGGCGACCCATCTAATATTTGTTCTTATAAAATAATTTTTGGTAGCGTTTTTCCAACCTTTTGTGGCGACTTCAAATGTCGCCACAACTAACCTTCAGTTACGGTTGTGCTTGTGGCAATACAAAAGTCGCCACTAATACCTTTTAGCAGCGACTATTAGGGATTTTGTAGCGACTTTGATCGCCCCACTAAGGTTGATTTCATGTAGTGTATCACCATAAAAGGAGTGTTAATTCATGTCTTACATTGGTTGATAAAATAGGTTGTTATCTTCTTAGATAATTTTGTGCATGTCTCACTTTATGAGTTAGTCTTTTAAGTTGAATCACATTCAAAATCTATTTTTATATTATGGTATCAAAGGCAAACCTGTTACAATACTTGGTTTACCAATGTTAGGCCACCACAATATGTTATATACACTCCAATTCTACATATCTTGACTGCCGAGATGTAATATCTCATATTGATTGAGAAAATAAATTATTGTCTAATTATATAATCTTTAAGTAATTCTCACCTGTGAACTAACTTTCGAGAAATCCAATATTATCCATTTTCTAATGAGATGTGTTGTTTGATTATTTTACAAAGATGTGCATGCTGATGCAGGTAATCTCGTGGCTAATTAATTTTCACTACTAGAAAACTGTAAAAAATTGTCCCGAAATGCCGATCGAAATCAGTCAGAAAATTAGAAAAATCGATTGATTTTCGATCGACTTTAATCTGTCAAAATAAGGCTGGTGTGTAATAAACTGCGACCGAAGTCGGTCGCCATTTCTGACCGATTTCGGTCGATCAATTTAATTTCACAAACGACCAACAAAGAAAAATTCTGCCGAAAAAATCGACCGAAGTCGGTTGGTATTTTTCGACCGAAGTTAGTCGGTATTTTTTATTATGTAATTAGAAAATGCATCGCCTGAGAATCGAATCGGGGTCTGTACTATGACAGAATACTATTCTACCACTAGACCATTGGTACATTTTAGTTTAAGACTTTATTTTATTTTATTTGTACTCTTTAATTGCATTTTTACTTGAAAATAACCAACCGATTTCGGTATGTTGTATTAACAATATAAAATTACCAACCGAAATAACCAACCGATTTCGATCGACTTTTTGAATATGAATTTTAATTTATTTTACATGAAAATCGACCAAAGTTGGTCGATTTCTTATAAAATAAATTTCGCGAGACGCCAAAATAGTTTCTCCCATTTTTGCGCCAACAATAACCCCGACCAAAGTTGAAGATTCGTATTAAATCACCACTATTATCCTTAGCCCAACGGTAGGCGTCAAACTGTTTACCCTTAAAATAAATAATAATTAAATTTATACGCGGTTTAAAAGATACGTGATTTAATTCAATACGAATGGTCTAAGAACAACAAATAATTGAATTATAGGAAAATAAAATGATCAAACCAAACCTGATGGATGATTAAGCCTGGATTTATGATGAACACTGAAAGTTGGTTCCGATCAAGCCCTCGAGACGGGGTCGGTTGCAACTAAATAAATAAGCAGCTAAAGAACACTTTGAACAATAATTAAAAAACAAAAATTAACTTTATTTTTTTGATATACATGCCAATTGTGGTTAAAAAATAAAAAGGTTCTCCCCTTTATATAGTAGGGGAGTTTCAATCCATGTATAAGTCTAAATAAGGTAAAACTCTTTCTCCTCTAGTAATGTGATACGCAATTGATATCGGGCGAAATTCGTACCGTAATATCCGGTTAAGGCGGATATTCCGACCCCTTGTTTGTCATGTCTAACCGTCTTTCCCTTAGCCTCGGTTCCTTACTTTGATCGAACTCGATTCTTCTCATGCTTGGACGAGTCCGATTCTTGGCGCGCCATTCGTCCTCCCCGGGCTCAGATCTGTGGGAGCCCTCAGCTTTGCCTGAGGCCATGTCGGAATGTGCTTTCCTCTCGTTTCTTTGCCGAAACATCGAAGGTAAATTTATCCCTAATTTTACCCGTACACATATAGTCTCCTCACTTTTGGGAGAGTAGATTTATAAAAATGATGAGAAGTAATTAACTGACCCTGGCTCCTTCCTCCGTACGCCACAAGCGGGCTGTCAAGTCAGCAAAACGTTCCATCAGTCACGTCGTTCTGACTTCGGACACGTATCAGCCGCTCGTTGACCATCTTCGGTGGCCATCGAATGCGAAACGTCACGCATTCATTATTTTCCTCCTATAAAAGCTCTGATTTCCTATTTTTTACTTTTTACTTTTCGATTTCAAATCTTCTTGAGTTATCCTCGAATTTTTTACTTGTTTATCATTCCCTCTAATCCTCACAAATTGTTCTTCACATCTTTATTTCTTCATCTTTAATCTTCAAACCTTCATATTTTATCTTCAAATCTTCATCCCAGATCTTCAAATCTTCATATAAACCTTCAAAACCTCATACCAACCTTCAAACCTTCATATTCTTAGGTCGAGATTGCAAAAACTTCAAAATCGGTGCCTCAAAACACTGCTCCTTCAACATCTTCCCCGACCGAAGATACCGAGGCAACCCTTTCGGTAGCAACCCCGTAATATCTTCTTAAAGAGTTAATCCTTGGAGGTTGCTCCATAGATAAAGACTTTAAGGTCAAAAAAGCCTCTAAACAAGGAGATCGAGGTGAGGAGGAGTGGAGGTATATTTGCTCCATCACCGAAGAAACGCTCCAAGCGGTCCGGGAGGACTGCAAATGGGTAGGCAAAGGCGTAGTCATTCCCGGACCTGATGAGGAAATCACGACGCACGTGGAGGGATACTTAAATGTTTATACATATCCCTTCATGCTTGGTCCAATGGATACGGTGGTCTTCGACTTTTGTAAGAGGTACGAGGTCTGCCTTGGGCAAATCCATCCGTACTTTTAGAGGAACGTTACCCTCCTCCATCACTTTGCCAACAACACGGAGGAGCCTCGATTCACGATCGACCATCTGCTCTATGTCTACATCCCCCGAATCTTCCAAGGGGGCTTGATCAAGCTTGCCCGACATCCAAAGAAGGCTCCCTTATCGAGCATTGATGAGGACATGGATCATGGTTGGCAGGGGAGGTTCGTTCGGTAAAGACCGAAGATCTCATTCCCTCTGAGTTCCTACCTTTCCTCGATAAGTGGAACTCAAAACATAAGGCCATTTCCTTTTAGTTTTCTACTCCTTTGACTATATCCCTCTTTTCTCAATACTCACTTTTGTTTACCTCCAGCTGTAGCCCGAGTCCCCAATGTAGGCCCTCGCTTCAGAGAGTGGGTCGAGGGAATCTGAAAACAATTGACATATTTCGAGCGCGAGGGGCGCAAACGTTTTAAAGGAAAATGGGAGGCTCGTTCCCATGGTGGGTGTCCTTCTTCTCCTGATTGAATTTCCCTCTAAGTCCTTTTAATTTTATTGTCATTTAGGCTAAGTCCTTCCTTTTTACAGGTTTGCCCAAGACCACCGAGCTTCGAGCAATTACGGAGGTCGTGGCCTCGTCCCTATCTAAAAGACCCTCTGCTTCGGTACAACCTATTGCCGAGGCTGCTGCAAAGAATGAGGAGAAAACAAGAAAGAAGAAAAGGTCCCCTGACCCCTCGGACGCTCCTGTTGAGGCCAAGAAGAAGATCGTGGTAAGGGGTCAGAAAGAGTACCAAGAAAAGTATTTGTACCGGGGTCCCGGATCTCGATTCTCTTTAACGGCTTAGGGACTACCCCGAGGATGATGACATGGAGTTTGTCATCCACAAGTCGACCAACGCTGCATAAGAGCTGGCAGCACCGGAGGGGGTGACCGTAAGGAAGAACCCTCTTCAGCTCGGGAGCCTGAGGAAGAACTTTTGGCCACTGCCCTTCAAGAAGCTACTCCGATTCTGAGAGAGACTACTGATGTCATTAACGTCTCAGAGTCACCGTCTCACACGAAGCCTCTTTTCGATGAGGCTCGGGCCGTTACAAAAAAGCCGATTGAGGCATCACGGGCCGCGGATGAAGACCTCAACTTGTTTTTGTGAAGGCGTAGACGTCGGCATTCTAGAAGACTACT